AACTATTTCTTTTCCTGATGATTACTCATTTGACTGCAACGATCAATACAGTTGCTAATGTAGATGTGATTACCTTGTTAGGCTATTGATTTATCAAGGGCAATTTCAGTAAGAAAAGGAATGGAGATACTTGAAATGTATGGGAGAATGGTATGGAAACATGATATTCAGGATATCTAAAAAGGTAGGAGAATAAATGTAGAATCAGTTTAATATCTGCTATATCTTCTAGCAGTGGACTGCATCTCAAGTGCAGGTGGATAGAGCAAGCCTAGTAAGCACTTCCTATCCCTATCGAAATCCAACTGTTATCCTAAAAGGACTACAGCTAGATCCACAAAGGGAAAAATATTATCTCATCCACCTTGTTTCTCTAATGTCCTGGGACCAATACAGCTATAGCTACGCTGCATAAAGTAATGTTTGTAGTTTTCTTGTGAGATCCTTTTATAGAGGCATTCTGTTAGAAGTCACATTTTATATCCGGTTCACCAGGATGGCTTGCTGGGACCAGTAACAGCAAGAAAGTTGTTATTCATCTTTTTATATTCTCTAGCCTTCCCTTAACCCATGGAAGTTCCCATGGAAACTACAATTCAGCATATTCTCTCCAAATCTCATCTTCCATTATTTGGTGCTAGACTTTAATTGCTTTCCCTGGCTCAGTTGTAATAGGGTTTAGTTGCTGTCTCTTCCGGTTGAGATGTTCGGGCTGAAATCAAAATAAACCACACTCTCTCAAAGGGTTTCAGTGTGTGTTCACAGGAAACCCATTCTGCTGCATTTCTTTCAAGCATTATCAGTTCCAATAATGTACAGAAAATTTAAGCTTCAGATGCATTTTTTAGGGGGAGATTCTATTATGCCCTTAAAAACTGGGGCTTATCATGACTGCTTGGGCAGGCCCCATTGCATTCCCCTCTGTGTGTGAATGTGATGAAATAGTTGTGGTGTTCAGTACAATGGAAGCTGGTGACACCTGGATGTGGAAAGGCAAACCCAGCACGTTAGTATTATTTCTATGACAATAATGAGATCTGGACCCCACCATGCTAGACACTCTACAAACACATGGTAAAAGAGAATCTGAATAGACAAGACAGAGTGGGAGGCAGGGCCGGCTCTAGGATTTTTGCCACCCCAAGCAAAATCAATTTTGCCCCCCCCCCCCGTTTTTTTCTTGCCTCGCCTCAACTCCTCCCCTTCCCCAAATCCCCAGCCCTGCCTCCTCCCCCCCAGGCTCTGAAGCCTAGGAGGGAGGGGGAGAAGCGGCGCACGCGCCGCGGCCACTCAGTCTCCCCTTCCCTCCGAGGCTCTCAAGCCTGGGAGGGAGGGGGAGCAGTGGCACGCGAATCAGCTGTTTCGCGCGCCGCAGCCACTCGGGATCTCCCCCTCCCTCCCAGGCTCTCCTGAGAGCCTGGGAGGGTGGGGGAGCAGCGGAGGTGAGCTAGGGCAGCCGGGGCACATTTTTAGGGGCGGAATTCTGGTGTTGGCCATGCCACCCTGAAAAATGTGCCTTGTTTTGCTGGTGCCTAGAGCCGGCCCTGGTGGGAGGAGAAGTAACTTGCCCAAAGTCACACAACACATCAGAGCCAGGAACAGAACTCAGGTCTCCTGAATCCCTGTCAAGTTCTCTTTGCAATAGACTAGTGGTTCCCCACCCGCAGCCTGTGGGCTATTTGTGACCCAACCAGCACAAAGCTGCGGCCCATGTGACAACCTCAGGGCCATACAGATAGTGTATATATTGTGTGGATGCGGCCCACGTAACACATATGCGGCCCGCAATGGTAAATAGGTTGAGACCCAGTGCAATGAACCATTCTGCTTCCATTGCTCTGTTCTCTGGACTGAGTCCCATTTTCTCCTCTTGCCAATATCACTAGGGGTTTGTGATGTCCATTGAAAAACAAGGCAGGTTCTGCCCGCCTTGTCTGCTCTTGATCAGCGTTCCTCCCTTACCGTACATCCCATCCAATTGGTTACCAGTTGTGCTTTAACACTTTGTAGCTGGTACTGTAACCACCTTAAGATGCCTGCCCTTCATATGTGTATTCAAGATGCACAAGCCACTTTAAAGAAAGTGTTATTGGTCACACTTCATATTAATGGCACATTTATAAATAGTTGATAAATGTTATGCGCATGTTACAGACCTGGGTAGTATGTGTTATAGATGGTTACAAGAACATCACTAGAAGGTGTTGTACATGGTTATAAGCCATTGTGATAAGCAATCTATTGACTTGTTGGCCTTAACGATCCTTGACACATGATTAGTAGATGTTTTAATAAATTTTGTCTTTATAAGCGACTTATAAATGTATCCTTAATTTAAAGTGTGACTGTTATTACTTATTTGTATTCTGGTAATGCCCACAATATTAAGCACTGTCCACATAGAAGGAGAAATGGTATCTGCTCCAAACAGTTTACAATCTAAGTAGTCAATCAGCATACGAAGGATGCGGGAGATGCACCATCAGAATTGGTTTTTTTTTTTATATTTCATATTTGCGGAGTAGGGATGGTGGGAGAGGAAGTTGGTCTATTTTATTAAATAAATACACATTAACCATGCTCAGCTGTGCTGCAAACTGTCCATTGGTAGTTGGCCAGTCCTTTTACAGGAGTCACAAAGAAGCAAGAATTCTGTATGTAACAGACATGCCTACAGTCCACCGTCTCTAAAGCATCACTGTTACACCATTACAGAATTGGTTTGATAGTATCAGGGGAATAAAGAAATCAACATCACAGGAATAATGTCAGTCTCCTACACCTTGCTCTTCCACGTATTGGTACTGCCTAGATAATCTGAGGGTGAAACTCCCGTTGACTTCAATAGACTCATAGACTTTAAGGTCAGAAGGGACCATTATGAACTTCTCGTCTGACCTCCTGCACAACGCAGGCCACAGAATCTCACCCAACCACTCCTGTAACAAACCCCTGACCTATGTCTGAGCTATTGAATTCCTCAACTTGTGGTTTAAAGACTTCAAGGTGCAGAGAATCCTCCAGCAAGTGACCCGTGCCCCACGCTGCAGAGGAAGGTGAAAACACCCCAGGGCCTCTGCCAATCTGCCCTGGAGGAAAATTCCCTCCCGACCCCAAATATGGCGATCAGCTAAACCCTGAGCATGTGGGCAAGACTCACCAGCCAGATACCCAGGAAAGAATTCTCTGTAGTAACTCAGATCCCACCCCATCTAGTGTCCCATCACAGGCCATTGGGCATATTTACCACTAATAGTCAAAGATGAATTAATTGCCAAAATTAGGCTATCCCATCATACCATCCCTTCCATAATCTTATCAATAGGGCCTGGAAAGATAACATATTTCATCATTTTCAAAGCAGTCCTATTGTGCTGTCCGTATTTAGCCCTGTAATAATTTGTGCAAAAACTTGCCTGTGTGCACAGACATATACAAATCGGGAAGGCATATGTCTAATAGATGTCACAACATTTTGGCTATTTCGTATTTAGCTTTCCAACTGGGACTATTAGGATGCGCACTCTGCAGGAATCAAACAGAGCAATTAAAGTAGTGAGATATGTAGAAAGAAACCTGCTTCTTCTTTTATTTTCGGGTAACGATTTTGGTATCAGACATTTTACTATTCTTGTATAGGCTGAAAATATAATTTCAACTACTTCTCAGTTGGAATAGGTCAGCAGTAAAACCACTTGCTCATGTTTTTTTATTGCACCTAGAGAGGATTCCTTAAACCTGTTTACTTCCGTCGCACTTCCTTTTATTTGCAATCATTTATTTTTGGTGGGAAATCAGGCGGTATTTGGCCAAAGCTAATGGACGTTAATGCAATAAGTTGGAGCGTATGAGATGAGTCAGAAAATTCAATCTCGAAGAAAGATGCTCACATGAATCTTTCACAGTCAATGAATGACCATCAGGATTCCATTAATTTAATAATAAGGGTTTCATTTTTTCCATTGGAAAAAGGCATCTTTGTGATTTAATAAACTTTAAAACTAAAATTGGAGTGGAAAACACGGGGGGAGGAAACCCAAAATCCACTGAGTGTGAGACTGTCCCTATCTTCCTGAACTACAGGGAATCATGTATAGCAATGCAAATAATAATAATGTACCATTGTCTAAGTGGCATGTAGCACTTGCACTGATTGATTAACTATGTGCTACATCCAACAGGGTGAAATTCACCCCTGTGGAATGGGCCAGCATGAGACCTATGCACCGTATGACTCACTTAAGTCTTATTTTAAGGAATTAGGCAAGGCTTTGCGAAGGAGCCGAAGGGAGTTAAGCCAAGATATGCAGATCTGATTAGTGATTTTTGGATGCCTCAATTTTTGGGTGCCCAGTCGGAGATACCTTAGAGAAACGGTTCTCACCCAGAGGTCTGGGGCTCCCTGGGGGGCTGTGAGCAGGTTTCAGGGCGTTCAGCAAAATAAACCAGAGAGCAGGGCTGGCGTTAAACTCTCTGAGGCCGAGGGCAAAAAGCCGAATCCCAAGCCCCGCTGCCTGGGGCTGAAGCTGAAGCCTGAGCAACTTAGCTTTGCGGGGCCCCCTGTGGCGTGGGGTCCTGGGCAATTGCTCTGCTAGTTGTAGCACAGGTGGGCCATAGAATTTTTATAGCCCGTTGGTGGGGATGGAAGGGCTCAGGAAAAAAAAAAAAGTTGAGAAACCCCTGCCTTAGAGGAGCCAGATTTTCTAAGAACTAAGCTGCCACTGTCTGAAAATCAGGCCTGTTTGAGATGTAGCTGGTCACAGAAATGGAGGCATCCAAAATCACGTCGTCACTTTTGAAAATCTAGGCCTAAGGCAGCCAATTCTCACTGAATTTCAGTGGGAGTTGGTAGCTTCCTTCATATAGGCTCCTTAGCTTGTACTTGCTCTCTCCAGAGGGAACCTCACCCATAATCTTTATACAGGCAAATTCCCACTGACCTCAATGAAATTGTTAGAAAACAGTGTTTTCTCTTTGATTTTCATGTTTAAAACATGCAGCCGACACTCTTCACAACCAGAGCGCCCTGTTTCTTGAGAACATCTCCAGGGTCAGACCCGCCTCTCCAGAGACTCCAGAATCTCCAGACACGCAGAGTCAGTCACAAGGAAAGACAAGGAGGACAAGCTTGGTCAGCATGAACAGTGAAACCTCCGGGTCGACAGAGAGCTTGCCATCAGCAAACATCTCCAGTAGTGAGTGAGACTTTGTGCTGTTTATTTCTGATACAGTGTCAATCCTTCCATCTGCCTCAGGCCTATGGAGGTTTATTTTGAACAGGGAATCTTCCATTTCCAGGAATACTAGTAGTGCTTTTAAGAGCCTAAAAAGCTAGAATTTTAATTAACCCAGGTTAATGTCCTCCATTTATATAGTTGGGGTTTTTTGCATTTTGCTCAGATAAGGTAATTAAATTGAGGTCATGCTTTTTATTAAGGGTATTTTTTAAGTCATTTATAAGGAGTAAATTTTAATAGGTGTTATAAGCATGTTCCAATCTTGGATACCGTTACCCCTTTTTTGACCCAAGCAACTAGTCAAAGTTTGGGTCCCTGTGGGTGTCCCATTTGGGAGGAGAATTTGGTGATAGTCAGGTATTTCTTTGATGCAGTTTTGTTTATTTACAAAGAATGTACAAAAGTCCTGTGTCTTAAAGTGCTATAGATAGTTATAAGCAACCTATTGGCCTGCTGGACAATACTAATCTGTAATTGATGAATTTACTCTTTTTGAAAACATCTATTATTCAGAGATGATTAACCCTTTAAGAGCTATTTGTGAGTGAATTCTTAATATAAAGTGACAACATTAAACTAGTCAGTTTCATTGTATATGGTCTTAAGACATTATAACTTATCATTTATATGATGGCAGCATGCAAAGCCCTCAGTTAGAATCAAGCTCCCATCATGCTGGGAGCTGTGAATATGCTCCCTGCCCCAAGCAGCATGCAACTAATGGTACAATTTGCATTGAAAACACTTGAGCAACTGTTTGAAACCAAATGATAGACTGTTTTTGATTCGTGAAAACATTACAATTAATATTAGGCTTTATAATGTCTTTTACAGGAACCTACATTTTGGAAGAATCTTTTTAACCAAGTTGCCTAAATCAAAAAGAGAGCGATTATTAGCAGGGTATCTGTTAGAAACGTGGTTCCATGTTGCTTGTTTGTTGTTTTGCAGTTACTGCCAAATGGTGGGGAACAAAGCGAATAGATTACGCCCTGTACTGCCCAGATGTTCTAACAGCATTCCCAACAGTGGCCCTGCCCCATCTCTTCCACGCCAGCTACTGGGAATCAACTGACGTTGTGGCATTCATTTTAAGACAGGTAATTTTATCCTGTCTGTCTGTCTAAAGGATAACTCAGTAATAATCTGTATCAGACCCCTTTGAATGTTAAGCTATACAGCAACCTTCGTTTGGTGAAAAGTTATTCATCCTTTCCGAGAAACAGGCATTGTCTAGGCACATGACCGGGAGTCAGGAACATCTGCTTTCCAGTCCCTGCACTGGCACTGTTCCCAGCGGCATCTCACATTTGTTCTGTTTTGTTTTCAATTTTGCTATCAACTCAGGTGGAGGTCACCTCTTTAGTGTCAGGTGAGGTATGATTGTTATACACTATAAGAGAAGGATGCTTTCGTAGCTAGAGCACAGGACTGGAAGTAAGATGTGGGTTACATTCTCAGTTTTGTCATATCCTCCTTGATCTTTGGGAAGGCATTTGCCCTTTCTGCTTGGCGTCCCTAAGGTACCACCCAAAAAGTGGGGAGGGGAGATAATACAAAACAAGCGGCAGTGAGAGCTGAATAGTTATCGACAAATCTCTTTGAAGATGAAAAGCACTATATTAAATGAAGAAGAGATGAATTGTCATAAGCTGGCATCTAAAAATAGGCACAAAGGGTACAAATAGTAATTTAATGTGCAAGTTCCTGGGCTTTAATCAAGGTTGTATTTTTGGATCAGAATTGTCCGCATAGTCAGTATGGCACTGTAAGCGCTACTCTTTGGTAACAGAAGATGCTGTTGATATTAGGCAGCACTGATGTACTTTGGATGAAATAATAGGTTGGTCTAATTGGATACTGTGTTTATACGGAGGGCATGGAGGAGTCTGAGCTTTGACTCCTGATAAAACAGGCCCCGAATGACCAAGACATTAGTCTGACCCCGTGATTAGTATGTGTGTGTTTTACCTTTATTTATCAAGAGTAAGTTGACTTCTGTTTACCTGGGAGAGGATTTTCTAAGGAGTGTAAATGAGGAGTAGGTGCTCTTTGCATGGTGATCAGCACAGTATAAATACAAGCACTGGTTGAAATTTTTCCGATGGAGTACTGCATCTGAAAAATGCTGATTTGATGGAACCAAAATTTTCCCTGGGGATGTGTCGATTCAGCTGATGCAGATGTAACACACACACCTCCTGGCTGTGGTGTTCTGTCCCTCCTAGTGGCACCAATACCACTCAGAGAAAGAGATATTAATGAGTTTGCTCTACAGCCTTAGCTAACAGCTATATGGCTTTTAGCTCATGCAGTAGAGGCTCATGCATATAGCTCCAGAGGTCCCAGGTTCGAGCCTGCCTGCCGATGACTGGGGTCTGTTGACTTTCTACAGAGTCTGCCTGTCTGGTTTCCTGCCAGCCCATCTGGCTCACTGGACTGCCCAACTCCCCAACTGCCCACCTACTGGACTGCCTGGCTGGCCTACCTGCTCAGCTCTCTGGATCCCCAGCTGCCCAGCCAGACATGTTGAAAACTTCCATTCAGTTCTTCTGAAATTAGGGGTTTTTTTTGTTTGTTTTTTTTAAACTTCCATTGCATGGAAAATTGCACATTTCCAACTTTCCATTCAGATTTGTAACAAAATCTTTGTTGAATAAACTGTGTGTCAATGGAGCACTAAAGTCCATTGCTAAATTCTTATGCAAGTTCTCAGAAGAGTCATCTGCCTCCAGTTGGTGCAGTAGCTTATCAGCCGATTCTGAGTCAAAACCTATATATTCCTGCCCCTGTACAGTATCAATGTATACTTGTTTTAATTAACTCTGGTTTTATCAGAACTGAGGGGGACCTTTAGCTTGGACACTGGTGCCAAGATCTGGAAAAAGGTTTTGTTTTCTTCTTCAACAGTCACCTTTTTCAATGGATCCTTAAATTGAGTAGGAAGTGTCCTCATCAGTCTATCATTTGCCTATCAAGAAGGAACCTAAAAATATCTACAGCTTACACTGATTTAGTAACTTCATGCCATTTCATTTGAACAGAATCCTGTGCATTTTCATAAGAAACCAGTGACCGTTAAACTTGTCATTATCCTGTTCCTTATTCCAGGACAGAGGACAGCTAATATAGATACATCTTGGACTCAGTCTAAAGCCAATCTCAATCTTGAAGTCAATGGAAAGACTTTCACACACTTACCATCTCTGAACAGAAGAGGGAAGTGTTTCTTGTGTTTACCCTTATAATTTACTCTTTCTATACATTCTGCATAGCCATTACGTGTATTTGAGATCAAAAAACCTCAGAGTTCAACTTTTGAAGACCCTCTAATCTGGGGGTTTGTAAACCTTCCTCCCCCAGGTCAAATGTTCCCCTCCCCCACGCATGCTGATTCAGTTTCTTTCCACAAGCCTATCTTCTTTTAACTGGTGTTATGCACTAAGAATAGAAGAAAACTTCCATTCCAAAGCTAAGATGCCAGAGGTAGACATCCTGTATATGCTATTTGTTTTTCAATACTCAATTTTTTCTGCCTCCTCTTTTACCTTCCCCCACGTTCCTAGTAGTGTCTCCATTTATTTTTCACTCTGCCTCCCCTCCCCCCGCACCATTAATGAAATACAAACCCACTGCTATTCAAGATTTGATTCAGAGTCTGATTCCCAGAATGTCTGAGTGGTTTGAAAATTATGCATGACACGCTTGTGCACATTGTGGATATGGGTGTGTGTAGGTACATGCATTTACACAGTCTGTGCCTAGCAAAACAATCTATTAGATACTGCAAAACTTCAATGTAACTCATGCTTTTTTGGCAAAGTTCATACAAGCATATCATCCATCACCCTTTGCGCTTAAAATCAGGGGCTTAGATCCAGTGTTCATAACTTCCCCATTCGATGCTTAGAGATTAAGGTAATGGGCCCCTTAGAAACACCTAAGGTAGACAGATTTAAGAGGTTATGCAGATATCTTTCTGAGGATTTCAGCACAAACTTGGCAATAAATGGTCAGAGGCTCTCTCCACAGTGGAATTCTCAAGGCCAGTTTAAGTAAACTTTGCTAGAAACAGTATCATCAGTCAGTTAAAAGCAAAATTTACCCATTAAACAAAACAAATCTCCATTTAAAGGAATAATAGATTTGCTGCTCTCCTTAAAGCAGAGAAGTGGTCACATTCAGAATTTTATTTTTAGAAAATAATTCTTCAAGTAATAGAATTCAGGTCCCTGATTTTCAGCTCTGCAGACACAGACACATACACACAATTTGTTCTGATTTCCAGTACTTGTGTCTTACTGCTCCCTCCCTCTTCTTCTCCAGCTTTGGACTTTATGCCTTTTTATCATGGCATGCTCCTCCTTCTTCTATCAAGCACCCTCTCCTTTCCTCTTTCAAATCCCTCCCTATTCCTACTTCTCTCCAAGCAATCCTTCCTACCTTCTCCTCCTCAGGGTCCCCCAGTGCGCAGCTGAGCTGTTGTGCTGTGTCTTGACCCGTGTATGTGATTTTTCTTGTGTAATTTGATTATAAGCTTTTCAGGGGCAGGGACCATGTCTCTGAAGGACCATGTAGATTTACAGCACTGTGTAAATGACTAGGTAATACAGGTACAACTTGTTCGCTCTGCCTCTGTACAGATTCAGGTTAATGAACGTTCTGTAGAGCCAAATTGTCTTTGACTGAGCAATGCCCATGGTGAATGGGATTTGTGCTGGTGAATAAATACCCTGTCTAAACTAAAACCCCAGAGTCCTCTATACCTGTTAGACAGTCACTCGTATAGAGTAAAGCCAATCATGGGTTACCCAGGTCTGCTTGTACTTGGCTTTAGAAATGTACTTATCTTTCCATTAGCAAATTTGATTTTCCTGTTCGTTTTCCCCATAAGATTTTAAGCAAGTTAAGACAACAAGTAGCACAGATGTAAACTTCAGGTGAAAGGCTTCCCAAGCCAAATCAGGTCTGTCTTGACTCATACAAATAGTCCCTAGAACTCCAGTAGGTTTATCCATGTGAGGAAAGTCAGCAAGACTTGGCTGTCTTTATGTGGAGGGAAAAAAAATCATTGTGGGCTGAATGTTACCATGTCATTTTCTATGAAAAGATATTTTCCTTCCTCTCATACCTCTAAATATTAGAGGAGAAACACCCCTCATCCTCTGCCCACCTTTGCAATGCCCTTCTCTCTGCTCATGACACATTATATTTTATAAATGTCAAGACTGAGTGCTCTTCAATGGTTCCATTAAAGCCCTATCCTGAGAGGGAGATGGCAAAGTCGATCAGTACCATTCCTGAAGAAGAGCTCTGTGGGAGCTTGAAAGCTTCTCTCTCTCTCTCTCATCAGCAGAAGTTGGTCCAATAAAAGATATTACCTCACCCACCTTGTCTCTCCAGTGCTATTCCTGTCACTTCTCAACGTAACCCCTCTGTCTGTGAAGCGGGTGAGGTAAAAAACAGTGGACAATTAATTGGTTAGTCAGTTGTTCCAATAACTATAGATGGTTCTTCAGGTGATCCTGCTGAGATTGTTGATGTACTTTGACACAGGCAAGGAACCAATCCATTGGAACAACGGTCTCAGAAACATAGCATTACAAGTAAATGGCTGCTTAGCCTGGATTGGAAAGGAATGCTGGCTTTGTGGTGAACACTGAATTGGAGTCTCAGAGACCTAGGTTTAATTCCGTTTCCTGTGTGACTTTAAACAAGTCACTTAGGGCCAGATTTACACTGGTATTTAGGTGCCTAAAGTTTCAGATAGGTGCCTAACCTGCTTTGGTGCTTTTGTAAATCTGTTAGGCCCGTAATTCCAGTTGAAAGCCGTGGGGCTGTATATAGTAGGCTTTTACTCAGAGGACCTTTCTTTGAGACAGCAGCAGCTGCACTGGCAGGTCTGCGGGTCTCACTAACGTGCATATAAATATACATTTAAAACAAAAGCGAGGCTGAGATTTTCAAAACTGCCTAAGCAAGTTGGGCACCCATCTCTTCTAGGCAGCTGGGACATCTCAGTCTCAACAGGCACTTTTCCATTTCAGTGTGAACCAGGCTGGGGACATCAGATTGGCTTAAAACGTTCTGGGTTTGGCTCCTCTCTATTAAGTGCCCATCAGGAGGGAATCTTGGACACCAGGTTGAAGGAGTGTTACGATATCCATATGGAGGCTGAAATAGTCAACAGCAGCCATTTCACATTAGCTCGTGGAGGAGGCTGAACTGAAGGTTTATGCTTGGTGAGCCAGTTGCTCATTTACACAGAAGTAACCTCATGCTATCCATGGTCCATCGGTCGCCAGTCAGAGTACCAACCTTCTCTTGTTTAAGTTTGTAGACTGTTCCTTTAGAACCACAGAGAGCACAGTAGCTCCCTGTTGGGTGCTGACATTTAGATCATATGGGAGTATGGCTAGACTTGTATTTTAATCAAGCTTTGCATGTTCAACCACTGGACTGAATTGGTGCTGGCATCTTTGTTGTTATGCTACTGCATATGGACCTAATACGTGGAACTACTCTCATGGGGGCTAGGTGCGGAAAGCCAGTGCAAGTGGGGTCAGGGAGAGGGCCACCAGGCCCATCAAGGAAAGGGGAAGGTTGCAACAAATGCTACTATGGTCCATAAGCTACCATGCGACTGCTTTGTGGATGGCTTCGCAGCCCAGGAGGAGAGGATGCAACTGTCCCCGATCCTTATGTAACACTCCCACTGTTTACTCTGGCTTCTGTGGGTTGTGAGGATTTGAGTCTGAAGCAGGAATAAATTTGCTTCATTGTGAATGGAAAACAACACAATGAGCTGCAGACCTGCACTGTGCAGATACAATAACTATCCTCTGCTTGCTTGACACTTAAGGTGAATGAAATGCAGGTACATTAATATTCCTGATCTGATTACCCATTTCTCTAGCGTACTCTTACCAGATGATCTGGGGAACACAACTAAACTGTTGCAGCACTGTGCTTACTCCACCCCCACCAATCTGGTGGCTGCCCATCATTTGTTATAACATTCATCTCATTTCAGGTGATGAGGTATGAAAATGTGAATGTCAAGGAAAATGACAGCTTGGACCCTGCAACACTAAGCCCCTCCAATCCACGAGAGAAATGGCTACGGAAGAGAACACACGTCAAGCTCCGAGTACGTATCATGCGTCATCCCAGAGCAGATGCAGATATGTCTTTCCTGGCAACAATTTCAATGGAATGCAGTTCTCTCACCTGCAGTGTGATTGTTGCATAACTGCAGATTAGTAAAGAATTGAAAAGCATTAAGTATCTCTAGGGAGAAGGAGGGAATGTGTGTGTGCATGTATCCTACTGACAGTGAACATATAGAAGTGAGAACTAAAAGAACAGAATTCTGAGGCTTCAAAAAAACAACAACAACAACCAACCGTAAGTGCTATAAAACAACAAAAATGGTATTAAAATTAAAGCAACATTGTTCCAAGCACAATAGGTTGATCTGTACACTCAAAGCATCTTTAGGTGAATAGTGGATATTGGTTACATAACATTTTGCCCTTGCTTAGCTTCTTAATTCTCAGAAACACAGAGATTCACAAGTCAGAGCTCTCCAACACAGGTGTGAGGTAGGTCATTTGCCCTGCTTTTCAGAGTGAGAGAACCAAAAGGTAAAGTGACCAGTGCGTACTTGGCAGAGTTGAGAATAGAATCTGAATGTCCTGACTCCTTACTTGTGTGGCTAAGGCACGGAACTATCCCTCTCCAGTGCTATTAAACCAGACAACACGGGAATTGTGATTTCTAGTCCTCAATCATAATCTTGCTATTAGGGTGGTGAGATCCGGGAGAATTGGGAATTGTGACAGCTGGGTTTGATTCTCCTCTCCAAGGGCAAAGGCCTAAGCGTTCATGTGCTTTGTCCTAGCCTTCTGTAAGGGCCAGGGCAGAATTTCAACCCCAGGGAGTAGTGTTAATGTTTGTTTAAATACAGGGTTGTCTGGATCTGTTCAGCACCCAGCATCCTGAGGCCTTGGGGTACTATTATAATACTAATAAACAATACTAGAACATTGGAGAGAAAGGGTGGCCATGTGATTCAGGTGCTGCACTGAGATTCAGGAGAGATGGGCTCTGCCAGACTTCTTGTGTGACCTTGAACAATTTCCTTAGGTGCTTTTGAAAATGCCATCCTAAGCCACTTAAGAAGAGCACACGTCCTGCTGATTTTCTCAATGGGACTTGGGCTCCTCCTAAGTAATTCATGTGTTTTTGAAAAGTCCCAATCTTGATCTCTCTGTGCCTCCGTTCCCCATCTGTAAAATGGGGATAATATTCCCTTCTTTCCGCCCTTTGTCTGCCTCATCTATTTAGATTATAATCAATCTCTTTGGGACAGAGACTACCTCTTAGTATGAGTGTCTGTCGTCTCTGACCTTGATGGGGCGTAGGCACTAATATAATACAAACAACCTAATACAAAGCCTACCAAAGGCATAACAACGTGGAAATACTGACCTTTTGCTTTCATTTCAGAATGTAACTGCCAATCACAGAGCAAACGACGTCATTGCAGCGGAAGATGGTCCTCAGATACTGGTTGGGCGGTTTATGTATGGCCCCCTGGATATGGTCGCTTTAACGGGTGAAAAGGTAAAGCTAGAGCTTCTGTGGATCATTTCCCCCAAATTAATGTTAGTGGTGACATGTGTTGAGCACACTTAACTGTCTGTATTACATAGATGACTCCACAGTGATGGGGACCATGTTTAGCATCTCCTGTCACCCTGGCAAACATGTGCTGAAACAACCCTTCTGATAGCTGACCTTTTCTACCCATCACCTTTCTTATGTGCTCCTGGCCATCTGAACGGGTGGATGCTGAGCGTCAGCTGTGAAGTGATTCCTAAGCATTCCATCCTATCACACCACCTACTGGGGACAGAATTAACTTCCTGAACAAGAATTAAAAGAGAGAATTCTGTAGCAGCGGCAAATCATGGGAGAAAAAATGTATATCCCCCAGATGAGGCATTCGGATAAAGGAATTGGGACTCCGGGGGAGTCACATCATTATTAGTTCTCTTAAACTAGGAAGCCTCAAGATGAATTTTAGCACCGGAGTAGTAATGTGACCCAGCTGGGGCCGTTGCTGCTCCAAAAGTCTCATACAATAGAAGTGTTTAAGGCTAATAAAGCCAAGCGTTAAGCTACAATAAACCAGTGAGCTTGTATGGCCTGATCATGCAGTGAGCACTGGAGGGGCAGAGCCCCACTGGACATCATTGTGCTTGTTGCAGGATCGGTGAACCACCCAGCCCACTTTTGGGGTAGAACGTTCGGCCCACTGACCTGTGTGATGCCCATTAGTGACTGATACGCAGAGAATACAATACTACCCAGCCTATTGTAGATTCTCCTTTAGCTCAAGTGGCAGGGCTGTGGATTTTGGACAGAAGTTCTCAAGCTACCAGTGTATCCCCGCTGTTGACCAGGAAGTGAATTTCGCAGTGAGGCGTCTAGTAGTGCAGTGGACAGGCCGCTTGCCTGGGTGTCAGGAGACCAGGGTTCTGTACCCAGCTGAGCCACAGACTTTCTATGTGATTTCGAGTAAAGTAAAACAATTCGCCTCTCCGTGTCTCAATTTTCTCATCTGTGACACGGAGATAGAGATGCTTATCCTGATACCTTTGCATTGAGTTTTGAGTTCTGCAGATGAAAAACATTATACTAGTGCTTGTTGTTATTTTATTACATAGGCACAGATTCATTGCAAACTGTAATGGTGAATCTGTTTGTGCTTCAGTAGAATCGCCCAACAGTGGCTCTGTCATATTTAGATTTCATGATCAGTGCAGTTTTATTTAGTAACAAATGTCTGTAACAGAAAATAATGACAAGGACCAACATTGCTACACTTATACCATCAGCTTGTATAAACAAAAATGTGTCCCCTCTAGATGTGTGGTTTAATACCACGAACATAGCCTTAAAAGAATGACTTGCAGTTGTTTCCTTAAATGAGTTATCAGCCTTCATTTACAATAGGTGATGGCATAACTATCACTGTTTTGTCAGAGGAAAATGAAGGTGGTGGTGGTAGCTGAATTATTGAAAAGCAACAGATAGCATCCCTAGCCCTGTCATTGCTGGCAGGGTCGTGACACAGCTGAGCTGAATGTAATCACAGGCTAGGAATGAAATAATGGGTTCTGAGCACAATCTACTGCTTGCACTCTAACCTCGGGCATCTTGCTTTTGAAACCATCTGCAGTTAAATAATCACTCTTAATAACTGGTCTACATAAAGGAAGCTTGCGTTGTGCTCTCACTGCTATTTAACACACCTCAGCTACCAGGAAATACATGCCCCTTCTTTGTTTCGTGGAATGTAGACGTGGGGCAGATATTTTTTTTTCCCTTTACCTGATGCAGTACAATCCCTGGCAGCACACGTGCTAAACTGGGGAAAGTGAGCTAAAGAAGCCAACCGGGACTAATTATCAGGCATAAGCCCTAATCAGTCTGTATTATGACTTCCTCATGGCACAGTGAGAATCTTACTTCAGTGCAAAAGAAGTCTTGCTTGGCGTTTCAGTACTCTGAAACAGCCATTATTTCATGTGACCTTGGATAGAGAATTGGCCACAGCAGCAGTTTTCAACGTGAGGGTCACAACCAGCTGTCCTACTGCCTTGCCTTTTTCAAATTGCTACATGGGAAGGTGGTGGGGATCCTGGTATGGAAAAGGCTAAGAACCTCTGTGCTTACAGGTACCTTGGTTCCCGTAGCCTGGCTGTGACAGATATGTATAGAATGCTGGCAGTCCCATAACTGTAGTGAAGTTGGGGGACACTCACTGCATGTACCAGAACTATTTAATTTAGTCACTGTCACTCTCCCCTTTGGTAGCATTTCTGATGCACTTTTCCCTTGTAAATATTTGGATTCTCATCCTATAGAATTCAAAAGCACCATTGGCCACCTTCTTGAAAACCTAGCAGACAGGCTAAGGCTTGCTTGGTGGCAGATATCCATATCTAAAGATTGTCCCCTCAGAAATTAGGACCATTGCAGGGGTAGGAGGAGGAAGCCTGAAATTCTGCTGCCATTGTTGGACTGGTTCCTTGGTTGCATAGTAAACTTTGGTTAATATAGTGCTCGTTAAAGGTCAAATGTCTGGAGAGTAAACTATTAAAATGGGCCATTTAATTTCAAGAGGTGTGCAGATCCTGTAGTCCAACCCCCTCAATACAACAATCTTTATTGTCTGGGATGGTGGCAGATTGCAGGTACATTTCCAAAAGAAAATTGTGTGCGCGCACGCGCCAAAGGCTTTTCAAAGCAGGTTTGTTCCCCATTCCACTGCATTTGGAAACGCAGCTTAGGGAACCTCGTTGCACCTCTGCCTTTAATGTAATAGCAAAGTCCCCCACAACTGAATTACTGTAAAAGGCAAAAATTGCGTGGCTTTTCCTAATGCAGCCATAGAGAACTCTTGGTTGAGTGACATGGTGGAAGTTGACTAAATTTATTCTGGGAGTAACTCCATTGAAATCAATTAAGCTACAGCAGGGGATAAATTTGCCTCCTTATGTTGACTCCAAACCCAGTAGAGTGCATGTAACAGTATTTCTGTGCTTTGTTGTTCTGCTCTGCAATTCCTAAGAATGTGCTGCTGCTATGATCTCATTGCAGAATTCAGCCTTTCCTGTGCCAATATAAATTTAATTATCAAAGTGGGGTGAGGTTACATTTAGTTAAGATCGTTGTTTCAATCTGGTGTCTTGGTTTGTAAGAACTCTGAAACAGCCCTATTACTTGAGATGACATAGGGGATAAGATCACAGATTTGCTCAAACTTTATTGCAGATGTTTATCATAGCCCTTTTATTAGATTTTCAACCACTCTTTATTCTGATCACACTGTGTATGTGTGTGTGTGTGTGTGTGTGTGTGTGTGTATATATATATATATATATATATATAATAACATCTTTTGGTACAGTGA